CCGGTTATTCAAAGACTGCGCAGTCTCATTAAGGAATTATATTCTAAGTCCCACTCAGAGGAATTGTTTTAGTTCCATATCAATAACCCTCTAGAATTAGTGAGATATCTTAAATTCCAAGAGTCTGTAGTTTTAGAACTCCAATTATTGTGATTGTAAAGCACGCAAAGAACACTACCACTTTGTAGGAGTGTTTTGTTCCAGTTTAATGGATAAAATGGACTGTTTTTCAGGTGAGGTGGTGGCCTGGACGGGCACACGTCCTGCTTTCCCAGCCCGTGTCCTCACAGCTGCTGCCCTCAGGAGAAGACGTGCAGGTCCCAGCCTTGCTCCATGCCGTAGGAACCTACCCAAGGCCTCGACCCGGAGCTTTAGGACAGCAGCTTCCAGCAGAGCAGGGACTTGAACCCCAGTTTCCTGAATTTGAGCCTAGTGTCATGCAGAGTTTGAGCCCAGGGCACAGGCCCAGCCTAAACACACCAAGCGTTCACGTTGCTCTAGCCTCTACATAATGGCTATACAACAGTGAATGTAAATTAGTCACTAAGCACATTTTTCACAGGTCTAACATAGCATGCAGAGAGACCCAATTACTAAATTTCTGAGTAGGTCTTAATTAACATCCTTTCCTCCTGTTATCCCTAAGATTATTTTGAAGATTTTTGTAAATTTATTTTTCATTTTTTGAGTATTAGGTTTTCTTAATATTCTCAATTTGCGTGATTATTGCACCTAACAGTGGAAACTTGAATCTATTCTTAGAGCAAGTGCCTCACACTCGGTTGCAACTTAACACTATGCTTTGGCTTCACTAAGATCATAAAGGATGTTGGTTAGTGACGAATGTGTTCCCATGGCTCCGACCTAATTATATTCCAGGGCAGAAAGAAAAGTTGGAAGGGAGGTAAGGTGTGCAACACTATTATTTTTATATCTCTGTTGAATACACCAGTTATAGACTTGTTAGAATTGTTCAATCTATCATTAGCAGAATCTTTGGGCTTATTTATAGTTAGCGGGATTTCCATTAAAATGTGGACAATGATGAAGAATACAGACATGAACAGATATGAGAAAAAAACAAGAATGAAACTATAGGTGTTATGCAGTATTTTTCAGTAAGCTTTTTTTTTTTTTTTTAATGGTTTGGTGGCCGTGTTTTGCAAATCCACATGAATAGTCCCAGATTTATAGGCTGGAAGCTGCTGTGGGGTTTCTTGTTCTGTTTATGTGTAAAGTAGTCTTACTGATAAGAAGGTCTTTAAATGAAAATCTAGGGTATCCACAATGCCCACAGTGTCAAGTGGGCCCTTAGAGTATCCTAGTAACAAGTAAGTACCTGAAAAACACCAGCGTGCTCTCATGAATCTTCTAGTTGCAGCTTGTCCAGTGCAAAATAGGTTCAAATTAGGGCGAAATCGATTCAATATCATAGCTCAGATTTGGTACCAGATCCTGCTTTGACTTTGTCTAGACTAAACCCATTATCCTGCAAAAGGTTAGGAGAGGCCGTTCTGGTTTAGTAACCTGAGCAATGGGCTGCCACAGGACACTTATGTGCCAAAGCATTCATGAACACCTCGAGGCATGGTCAAAGCTGACTTTCACTGGGAGTATTTACAGTTAAAATTATCTGTGACAGAGAAGGTTTGAAAGGAACAGTCGATCTTGTGATTCTGCTCCCAAATCGACCAGCACGTGTTGGGGATTGGCAGTAAACGGTCAGGATGGAGATGCACTTTCTGTGAGCGTTTGAGGCTGGCCTCTCTGGGAGGCCGGACAGACCCTGGCGCTGCCGCAGGGTGGGCTCATCTGTCAGGTGGCTCCGCACAGGACAATCCTGGGGAGACGAACGGGGCTCCTCAGGAAATGCTCTCCCTCCAGCCAAAGCTATCCTTCATTGTGACGAGGCTCATGACAGCTTCTCTGTTTTACAAACCTCTCTCTTTCCCACAGCATTTGATGTATTTTCCAAACCTTATAAAATAGCAATTCTGACTGCCTACACAGAAAAATACCCAGCAGCTGCAGGACGTTTAAAGCAGACCATGTGTTCATGGGGGGTACCCTGCGTTCATGATGATGCCACACGCAAAGACAGGAAGGTCTTCTTCATGCCACCGCTGTGGCCCTTGCTTTCCAGGGGGGTGTTAATTAGCTCACTGGGTTAATTTTCTGGAGGAGATCTAAGTAGAAGTCAGTGTCTAAGTAGATCCCTAAGAGCTGGGGGAGCTCCTTGGCTCTGAGGCAAGCTGGGCCATGCCCATGGCCGCACTAAAGCCGTTTTACGTGATAGATGCTCTGAGAACTCAGGTTTTCCGAGAAGCGTGACAGGCTGCTCTCCCTGCTCTCTGCAGAGGCAGCTCGCAGGGCTTGAACCATCCCTGCTGCACTGAAAGCAACGAATCCTTCCACAGGATTCACACGGCTGCTGTGCACAACTGCAGTTAGTGCACTAAGTGCCCAGCTAAATGCTCCCCTAAGGGATTTGGAGGATGCCTCTCTTCGGGAGACCTTCTCCTCAAGTCTCACCGATTCCCTTTGTTCTCCTTTTTCATTCTCTTCCTGCTCTCTTCTGTAAATGCTAAGAGAAGCTGCTCAGACATCGGTGTGTGCTTAAAAAACCTTGTTTATCTCTATACAAAAGCTGGTTTAGTTGAGCCTGTCCTCTCTTTTCACAAGACGTGTAGGCTCTGGCAATACTGTATAGCATTGGGGCTGGAGGGAGATATTGGGGCTGGAGGGAGATACTGTTTGCACGATATCATCTGCATCAGGAGAAAGGCCCAGCCCTCTTCAAGGGATCCCTATCGCAAAATCCCATCCCAAACTGAAGATTAAAAAAAACTACCGCTAATTAGTTATAGAGTATTACTTTTTAGCTGCCTTCTATTCTCTGTCACTGTGTGTACGTGTAATTGCTTTTCTTTCTGAAAAAGTCAGCTGCGGGTGCTCACAGAAACACTACACACACCTCTCCATGGCTGCTCTACCCAGCCAAAATCCAAGCTCTGTTCATTCCCTGCTACCTCTTCACTTGCCCCCTGACAACTTTCCCACATGCCCCCATGTTCCTTTTCTATACCAGGCCTATGAAGTGCACCTGTAGAAAGAACAATGAGCAGAAGACAAAAATAAAGCATTCTTTTTCCGTCTTATATTTCTCAATTATTTTTCAGTAAAGATCTACACAAGCTGTGAAGAGCTGTATGTGAAAGAATATCTTCATGACATCAGCCACCCACATAAATACTGGGAAGGGGAAGCAACGCAAGCAGAATGTTCTTTAATTCAGTGCAAAACTTCCCCTCATGGTCCTGAAGTACTGATGAGAACTACCCAATGAGAACTGATAGAGCTTGCAAATTATAAACTTGTATAGATAAAGCCATTAATGTGAACAATTATTCCCTGCTGCTCTGCATCTTCTCACCACTTCTGTTCTCTTCTTGTCTGTACTTTAACCTCTAAAATTAAAAATAGAATCTCCACTTTCCATAGCAAGGAAATACATGGTTAAATGTCTACAAAAGAATCAAGTGTCAAAAATTTAGGTAGCTACGTAAGAGAGATGCCAGCAAAACATGCAACAGCACAAACGT